CTTGTGAAAATTTACACCCGGATTCCGTAACCATATTCAGAGACATTGTCCAATTCTTCCTCATTGAAAATTTTAGAGAATATTGGTTCCTTTTGATCAACCTATGGGGATGCAAACATCTTAGTGATAGCATCTTTATCAATATCAAATTTCAATTTAGATTTCAATAATTCCATAGATCCTAATTTATTAGCAAATAGATCATCTTTTATCTCCTTGAATTCTCCTTAATGAAATGCTCCTTCTCCTGATTAGAATCTTAAGAAGGCTATGTTTCCCAAATAAGGATCATGCCATTTGTCTCTGCCAACTGACAAAAAGAATTTGTTAGGTAAATAATGATGATGATTCTCGAATTTGACTTCTTCTTTTCTATATCCAAATTCCACTTTGCCATAAGCCAATTATTAAACTCTTGAATATCCAAAATAAATAAAATGCCACTTCGCAATATCATCCTTATACTAAACATTCTATACACTATTTGCATTTCCTGAGCCATAGAAGTCTGTATAAGTATAAGTAGAGAAATAGAGGACTCCACCAGCTTATTGTCCAACCCATAAACATAATGTTCTATCTCCCAAACTATCTTTGTTCTCATAATTTTCAAGTGTAGACAATCTAACAGCTAAATGCCATGCATTTTAAATAACACTAGACCATTTGAACCAACCACTCCAAGAGTATTCTCCACTAAATTTTTAATTATCAAACTTAAATTATTTTGCTTCTGAATTCATCTCAAATCTTGTATTTTTCTCTATTAATGCATTCTTAATCAATTCTACACTGTATGTAGGAGGTTAAGGATTAGATTTTAATAAATCTTGAAATTTCTCCTCATTATCAATAAATATGCCTTTATTCACACTAACATAAGCACCGCTTATTTATCCATTAAATCCTTTATAAATCAAGTGTTTTCCACCTAAATAGAATTTCAAAATGGTTGGAATCACATGAACACTCTAGATAGCAGACCTAATAGGCTTATCATTACCAAACTAAATAAAAGATACACTCTATTCTTTATTAAGATTGTGTGCGTAATGAATGAATGTCCATAAACCTTCTAGATCAGCTGGATGATTCACATTTGTGAAAATATTAGAGAGTTATTAAGTGTAAGTAGTAAAATGATAGAATCCTTTGCCTAGCCAAATCGCCAAAGCTCTATCACCAAGAGTACTATCTTGCAATACATCATTCTTGCTCAGTCTACTGATGAAACTCCAATCAACTTTTAATCCTTCAATTTATACTTTTGGGTAGTTCCTTAGATATCTAATCCAAAATCCATATCCATATTCAAATACTTCATCCAACTCATCTTTATTAAATACCTTCAAATAATTGGACTACTCATCACTATTCGAGTCTACCATAATTTTATCTTTCAATTTTGCAAGATCAAATGTTTTGACTTCCTTCTTAATACTTTACAAATCAAACCCAAATATATTATCTTGATCTTTATAATCAGTGCTTTATTTATATGCTCCTTCACCCATATTGAATTTAATCTATGTAATCAATCCGTTAAACCCAGCCACAAATGGTTCTTTACCAACATAAATGAAAAATTGATTTGTCAAATAATGATTAATATATGCGAATCCCTACTATGACATTTCATCCTACCATTGCACATGGACATGACAAGTTGATTTCTCTTGTTAGTATCCAAAATAAACAAAGAACCATCTTTAATGTCTATTCTTATGTTCAATCTTTCTTTGAATATCCTTTTTACCATTTCCTTCCATATTTTCAAAACTATAAGTAGAGAACTATAAATCATTCTTTCCCACATATCCCACTAAAGTCTTATCTCCTAATTGATCATCTGAAGGGTTTCTGATTGTAACTTTAAACATGCTATGTAAAGCCTCCTATTTATCTGCTAATAACCACTTGAACCAACCACTGATAGCATATTCTGTTGGCAAATCAACCTTATCACTTTAAGCAAACACTCCTTCCTCATCTGCTTTCCTTGTAAATTAATCTCCTAACACATTCATGGTTACTATTGTTTAGACCTTCCTCTCTAATGTATAAGATTTCAGAATCTTCTCTTAATCTATATATGATCCATCCCGAGTTGAGAAGGAGATCTTAGAAAATTGACCATTAAACCCAGGATATCTTCTCTTATCAGTTCCACCTACAATTAGTTTTAAGTATCTTGTATCTTAATGTGTAACTCCAGTATGCTAAATCTATTAAAATTTGTCATATCCAAATCTTATGAATCCAACAGCCTTACCTAACTCTTTATTATACGAATAATAAACAAATGTCCAAAGGCCTTCAATATTCTCTGGATGATCTATTCTTTACTCTTGATTTGTATTCTTTGTTATCAAATTACAAGTTGAAAATTAATAGAATCCCTTTCCTAAGAAAACTGCTAATGCTCTATCACCAATATTAATATCGTTATAATTTTGATTCCATGTCATTCTTGAAACAAAATACCAAGGTGCTGTTTTTCCACCCAACATTTATTTTGGATAGAGTGTCAAAAACCTCATCCAATATCCATATCCATATTACTTAAATGGTTTCTCACCATTTTCCTCTTATTCAAAACTAGCCTTATCTGAATCAAAACCACTTGGCTCTATCTTCTCTTATTTTATCACTGGTTAAAATTAAACATCATCTGTAGTTTTAATTAATTCCTTCAATCCAAGCTTGAAGTTGAATATCTCTTCATCAAATTGTTTCTGATTCTTATAGGCACCAAATCCAAAATTCACAACTACATATGCCATTTTACCATTCAATCCTGAATAAAACTTATCCTTTCCAACATAAGCATATAATTTATGGACATAATAATGATTCACATTCTCATAGATCAATTAATCTTCATCCTCCTACCATTTCACATAGACATTCGCCTAACTCTTGATCTTTGAATATCCAAAATAGATGAAATGCCATTTTGTATGTCTATCTTTTAAATTGAGATTCTTATATAAATTTGCATTTCCATTGGCAATCATATTCGTATAAGTATAAGTTGGGAATTGATACACTCCTCCCTAAGTCTTTCCAATCCAACATGATAATGTTCTGTCTCCCAAGAAACTATCAGTAGACTCCTTTCTAATCTAAATTCTGAATAAGTTATGCCACTCCTTTTCCAACAATGTCGACCACTTGAACCATCCACTCAATGCATACTCTCTAGGAAACTTCACTTTCTTGTTCCTAATTACTTTATACTAATATAAATTCTCTGAAGAACGTGTTTCCTCATTTTCTACTATTCTCACACTCTGCACTTCCTCTACAGATTACTAAGGAACATCGTAAATATTCAATTTCATTATTAACTACTCTGATGTTAACAGAAATGTTCCAGCTCTAATACCAAAAGTAATCTAGGTAAATATTCCATTGAAACTTGGAAACCTATTGTAATCATTGCCACCTAAAATAAATCTTAAGTAAACTGTTGGAGAATGCTTTACATGTTGCTTTATTGTTGTGAATTTTTCATTTCCAAATTTAATATGGCCAACTGCTTATTCTTATTCTGTACTATACGAATAATAAATGTATGTCCAAACACCTTCGATGTCATTAGGATAATCCACATTTAATAAAACATTAGGTTTCAATCCATCAATATCATATGTAGTGAATTAGTAAAATCCTGCTCCTTGCCATATTGCCAACACTCTATCACCCATATTAATATTTTCATAATTTTTGTTTTTTGTTAACCTACTTATGAAATACCAAGGGGCATCCTTTCCTTTAATTAATTCTTTAGGATAATATGTTAAGAATCTCATCCAAAATCCATAACCATACTCTTGGTAATTATTAGCAACAGTTATTCCTTGGTCAACTATTGGATTTTTTCCTTCTATATCATTTGATATTTAATCTTCATAAGTTTACCCTGGAATAATCTTAATTTCTTAAACTTTCTCGAATTCTTCCTCTTGATTTTAGACACAAAGATCCCCTTCTTAAACAGGCATATCCATAGTTTATTAATCACTATCATCATCATTTTTGTGATCAATTATCTTATAATCTGGTAATTCTGGTTCTACAGAGATAATTTCTTTTTTAGTTGTTTATTCAGTAGTTTATCCAACTTCTTTACTTTATTCTTTTGATGTTTCATTTATTTTTTCGGTAGTTTCATTAGTTTATTAAGAAGATTAATTGATTTCTTTGGTTTTTTATTTAGATTCTTATGTTACTGTATTTATTTATTAGGTTATTTATTCAACTTACTGAGTTTATTAATTGGATTATTATATAGTACTTTCATTTGCTTATTAAGTATTTTAACTAGTTTGCTAATCGATTTTATTACTTTATTATGTTGTCTCATTCGTTTATTAAACTGATTTATTGTTTTATTAAGTTGTCTCATTTGTTTATTAAACTGATTTATTGTTTTATTATGTAGTCTCATTTGTTTCCTAAACTACTTTATTATTCTATTAAGATGTTTCATTAGTTTACTGAATCACTTTATTATTCTATTCAGTTGTCTCATTTGTTTGCTATATAGTTTTATTACTCTATTAAGTTGTCTCTTTATTGTTTTATTAATTGATCTCATTTGTTTACTTATTTGATTTTTCATTTTATTAAATTGTCTCATTTGTTTATTAAACTGCTTTATTATTTTATTAAGATGTCTCATTTGTTTACTAAATAGACTTATTACTTTATTGAATTATTTCATCTGTTTACTGAATCGAGTTATTATTTTGTTAAATAATTTCATCTGTTTATTGTTAAGATTTATTCGTCTTTTAAATTGTCGAGTCAGTTTATTAGCTTGCCTAATTGCTTCGTTAAGTTGTCTCACCTGTTTAATTAATAACTTTATCATTTTATTAAATTTTCAAATCTTTTTATTGATCAACCTTATTGCTTTGTTAAATTGTTTCATTTGTCTTTTGTGCTTCTCTATTTGTAGTTGATATTACATCATTTGTTTACTTAGTAGTTTCATTTGTTGTTTGATTTTTTTCATCTTTTGTACTAATTATTTTATTAACTTATTCAATTTCTTGATTAATTATATTACTTTACTCACTTACAGAGACTTCTTTTTTCTCTTCTACAGAATTACCTATAATTTATTATGTTTATTCATTCTATTTGATAATAATGTCATCCTATTTTTTTGAAATTGGTTGAACAAGAGGAGTATCTTAATCCTGAATCTATTCTTAACAATCTGGCTATTAAATT